TGCTCACTTCAGAGTAATTCACTCATCTTCTCAACACCAAAAAACAGTGCTCCTGTTTAAATCATAAAACAAGGACAGGAAAACCAAGAACACACCAAGGCCAGGATCTCCAGCAGGTCTCTCCTAGTCAGTAATCTGATGTGTGCTGAACCTACAGACATAGGTCATGGCCACATTAGTTATCTATCCGACCATTTCTTCAGTCAGTAGTCCCCCAGTGCCTGCTACTGCCACAGTGAAATACAGAAAGACCACGGTTTCCACAACACCCTTGGTTCTCTGGATTACCACATCACACAGAACACTCCATTCATTCTGCAAACCACATACCCCAGCAGGTCAGCACAGGAGGAGACAAGCTTGGCTCATGTGAGGAGGGAGGAAGATCCTGGAGTGTCTAGGCAGGCAGGCCAAAGTTTCAGCTTGCCTGGGAGGTGCCTACCTCACTTCTTTCCCACCTGCCTTTACTCCTTACCAGGAGCAGCTGCCGGGGTAAGCCAGCCCGTAACTCCATGTCTTCCTTTGCAGTATCAAACACAAGCCCAGAAATGGTATCCAAAAGGAAATCTCCCCATGAACTGGAACATGCAACAAGAAAAAAAAAAAGTGAACCCATACAAAATACACGTAAAATACTAATTACTAGTAAAGCAAAAGCTACAAATGGGGTTCCAATTTACCTGCATGTTATGGATTGAATTGTGTCCCCCCCAAAATGTGTGGGAATCCTAACCCCTATACCTGTGGATATAACCCCATTTGGGAATAGGGTTTTCTGTGTTATGTTAAAGAGGCCATATCAGTTGTAGGGTGTGTCCTAAATCTAATCACTCCTGAGAGATTAAAAGGGCAGATGAGACACAGAAGCAAGCATAAACAGGAGAAGACAGGTGCCAAGTGAGGACAGCCAAGAACCAAGGAAGGTGCTGGGCTACCGACAAAGCAATCGACAAAGCAGAGACTCTGATTTGGACTTGTAGCCTCCACAGCTGTGAGAAAATAAATTTCTGTTCATTAAAGCCACCCAGTTGTGGCATTTGTATTACAGTAGCACTAGCTAAGACACCACTCAAGCATTTTGAGTTCAATTTGACATTGCTCTGCATAAAAACACCTTCATGAACCACACTGCTCCCCTTTCTCTCCATTCCCAGCCTCTCACTGAGAAAGTGAAAGGTGGAAAGCTAGGTTTTATCCATGATTTCTCTTAAAGGTTCCAGAGAATTAATCATATACTGTCACAAAACAGGAAGTACAAGGGATTGTATTTTTTTATGTTTACAACTGTAACACAAGTATCTGTGAGGAGAGTATCATATGAAATTTTAACACTCGATCACTGACTTTAGAAAAAATTATAATAAATCCAAAAGAAATACACTTGGGGTAACAGCCATATCCCTGGTCTGGGAAATTATGTGAAGAGTTAAACATTGTATTTTCCGATCGGGCACTTTTCTCAGTAAAATGTCTACCAACATTAACAATTTCAAAGCAAATGACTTTGCAGCTTGTTAATCTTTAGCAACTGCTTTACTGGGGTAGAAGGTAGAAGCCAGTGGCCAAAATTAACATGCAGGAATGAGCCTCCGTGTGTTCTCGGGAGTTTAGAACTCTCACTCGTTCCTCAATGAGTGCCAGTGTAAGAAACACACTCAGTGGGGTTGCTCTCTTTAAACATTTCTCAGCTGTTTAAAACTTTCCTCTGTGTCACCAGTGGATTTCAAATTGCCAGCTATGTGTGAAATGGAAATTCACAGTATGACTTTTGCTTCTCACTCAGTAAGCAAAATTAACACTTTTATGCTTCCCTCCTGGAAAAGTGGCAAAGGAGGACAAAAGCCACAGGACAGAGACTTTCTCTGAGACATCTGCTACCTTGCGGCATCACTGCTTCGCACCTTAATGTTACATCCGACCTCACATTTTTATCCGCCGTCAACCTGGAGGACGCCTGCAGATCGTGCAGCAGCATAAATCAAGCTGCTTCCTCTTCAGGGTTATTGGTGGAAGCCACACGGCAAGAGCTCACAGAGGATTCAATAGCAGTTAAACCGTGCTCTGTGCTCTTCTAAGAGTCAGACTAGATCTTGGGCCTTTCCGGAATTTAGGAATAATACCTCCTCAGGGGTTCACGTCAATAAAACAGCCAAACCACCCTGCTGCTTTCCCACACAACAGGCTCCAAATCTTCATCCTGTCTCAGTAGCTTAAGGAGCACCAGACTCAAAGTGCAGTTAGCATCTTTGAGAAGCAATGGTCCTCAAGTTCAATTTTCCCCATTTGAACCCCAGCATTACCAACAAAAAGGCCTAGACACAGCAATCTGGCGCCCACCCACAGCCCAGGGCAGCCCTTATGTAACTTCTGAAGCCCTTCCACAGCCCCAGCTGAGTGAACTAAGGATGGGCACGACCCAGGGGCAGCCTGTCAGGTCTTCACACTTGGGATTAGGGAAATAGGGAGTGAGTCAGGCAGTTAACAGCAGAAGCCAAGCTAATGGGTTCAGTGAGATGGAGAGAGGGCAGAGAAGCAACTGATGGTGGCTTATGATGAGCCAGCATCATGAGGAAATAGAAACTGAGGAAGAAACAGAGGGAGAGAAAACCAAGTAGTAGAAAACCAACTGGTGGCAATAAGAGAAATCAAGGCACAGGGAAAGAGAGAGTAGCTGAGTAACACTAATGGTGGGGCAGCAGAACATACACGGATGTTCACAGGACACCTCAGTGGCTGCCAAGGTCCAGAGTGGCCTTGGATCCTGAGGGAACTCTGGTTCCAGCCTCTCTATGGCTTGGTCCTCTTATGGTTCCTCTGACTCGCTCTCTCGATTGCCCCTGCTCTGGAGTAACTTTCTGTTCTTCATCATGCAAAGAACTACTAGGCACATTGACAAGAACATTTTTAATAATGTAAGTCTAATAGAAGCTTTGGCCTTCTTTGTGGGCAAAGACAGCACTAACTTCAGGCCAGGCTTTAACCTGGTTCTTCTAGTAAGCCTGTTAAACACAGGGGTTAATTTAACACTGAAACACCAGATGAGAAATCAGAGAGATATCTCCCAACTTGTTCTGCAAGCTAAGGCTCTGAAGGTAGGAGAGGACTTGCTGTCCCTTGGGCCTGGAACATCCTCTCCTACTCTGGCCTTCCTATCCATCTCTGCTTACTCATCTTTTAAGACTCACTCAGGTCTGATGTCATTTCTGAAGTCTTCCCTACTGCCCTAGCCTAGTTAGGTGCCTTCCTATGCTCCAAGTGTCTCCTCTGCAAATCTATGATAGAGTTTATCACACTATTTGGTAACTATTTTCATGTCTATCTCTCCTCCAACCATCACTTCCCAAGTATAAGTTCTTTCACAGCCCCTTCAATACAATGTTTGCTTTTCCATCAACTAGCCCAGGGTCTAGAACCTGCCTGCCGAATAAATTAATCAATGGCTTGTATTTTTCAATGCAGTCTGGACTAACAAGGTTGCTGCTGTTAGGAAATAACGCATGCGCCACTGCCTCCCAGTCCCCATCATGTGACGAGGCACTCTGTCAGAAAGGAACATGGTTTTAATTGGAACTGTTTTCAGCACATGCATTTTTCACTCCCGTGGTTCCAGACTGCCTTTCTGACTTTAATTTCACGGACTGTAAAAAGTGGAAACCTTAAAAAAGACTAAGAACCCAGCCTAGCATCACTAACACACTGACATACCTGCATCTACAATTCTTTCCAAACTATAGGATGCTGTATTTGGGCAACTCCCAGTGTTCTCTATAAAGTCAGGTTCATGACATTCCCATGAGGGTCTATCTCACAGATGGGAGACGAAAGAAATATGGCAGTCACCAGGGAGACTGAAGCCTGGGGTTTGGATAAACAGAGACAGGTAGTGGCCAACTCCCTCATGTCCCACTGAACGCGGCTGCTGTGGGCCACAGCTCAGAGCTGTCCTAAGATGCTGGGCTGGGAGACAGAGTGTTTACCTGTTCTGGTAGGTGCTGATGGTCACGTGAGTGGAGTGGGCCAGCCCTGGAGGAGTGTCCGCTTGATGAATGGTCCCTCTGGGAAAGTAAAGCAGATCACCTGGCTAAAGGGCAGAACAAAAGAGGGGAGGAGTTAACAAGGAGAGTACCTCCTCAGTCTTCTTTCTTCTAAGGAGATAAATACAGGCTTTGAGTTTCAGTTCTCCATTACAGAAGCCACCACCTACTGATTCAAGGGGTAGTGTGTGCTGGGCTCCTGTGGTGTCCACCTAGCCTAAAATCACAGTGAACTTGTCACAGTAAGACACAATCCCCAAGAGGCTCTCGGTGCCTCAACTCACCTTCTTCATTCACAAGCTGAGACCAGATACACATGGACTACCTTCCTCAATTCCCGGACCAAGGAAGGAGCGATCCTGCCACTCCCTCTCCACCTGCCAAGTCATGCAATGGTCTAGAGGTGCTTTATAGTCTTACAGACTCTGCCACTTACTGGCTGTGATCCGAGGAAATCACATAACCCCCGAAGCCTTGGTTCCTTTATCTGTAAAATGGAGTTAATAGCCCCACAACTCACAGGATTATTATATGAGGATTAAAAGAGATACTGTATCCAAAGTTCCTGGGGCAATGGTGGGCATGTGGTTGTATTATAACTATTATTTTACCTAATAGTCCCCCATCTCTTAACAGTTTGTCCCCCCCTCCCCACTGAAATAGCTTTAATTAAGCAGCAAAAGCAGAATTGCAACACATTTTTTTAACATTTGTAAATTAGGTCACAAAAGGATGCAACTTATTTGCAGTATGACCATTATATATTCATATAACTGAAGTCATTTACTGAATCTTATTTATTCCTTCATTAAAGGTGGCCCAAATCTAAAAACAGTGAGCTATATTAGTGTATCTCTCTTCCTATTATAACTAACATTTTAACATTACTTCTGATAAATTCCCTTTTTCAACAGACTATATAACTGCATTAAAAAAAAAAAAAAACCGGTTTATTAAAGGGATACCTAAAACTCTACAAATCAAATAGTTGGGTTTTCAGAAAATTATAGGGTAACTAGTGAAATAAAATACTGAGAAAGAGTATCAATTAGTACACATGTAAAACTTTTCCATTTTATTCACTCTTAATAGTTTCTGAACTCTTCCATCTTATTTCCCCCAGAGTCTAATCCAGCAAAGCACCCAGCACAAATAGAGGCTCAACAAATGTTTCAATGAACGGACAAAAAGTGATATAACTCTTCGTTTGAACCTGAAAAATAGAGGTAACTAAGGATCCATCAACTTTCTCGGCCATTTGAGTCTCATCCATCCTATCTCTTCTCTCTCCCCAAGTCAGTGGCCTGAAATATTCTCCCCAAATCACTCTTGCCCTGAGCAATCAACTCCCGAGTCTCACCTGAACCAAAACATTCTATACAGCAGTGTCTAAGGAGAGAGGTGGGAATCTTGTGAGCTGCTCATCTCCCCTGCAACTACGGGAAGGGAAGCAGTCTACTACACGGGCTAAGAGCATGACCCCTGGAGCAAGAGCTCAAGAAATCAGCCTAACACTCTTTTTTTTTTTTTTTTTTTAATTTTAAGATATTCTGTAAAGCACGAGACAATATATAAATATCTGTGTTCGTAAGAGCTATCTAGGTTGCTCATTTGCCCTGCATGACACCAAACTGACATGAAACTTAGGACTTCAGGTAAATACATGTTTTACTGGTAATGACAGCTATCCTTTCCTGAGTGTCTCTGGGCCAGCCCCTGAGTGAAGCCCTTTACATATATTTACTCATTCATTCATTCATCACCCCCTGCACCACTCCAGGCACTGGCGGTAGAGCACCGAACAAAACAAACACCTGCCCTTAGGTGGAATATTCCAGCCGGGGAAGACAGACAGTCCAAGAACAGGAAGAGAGAACAGATACAACCAAGACGTTCTACTGGGGGCAGAGAAATTAAATAAAGCAATAAATAAATAATGTCAACTGGTGGTGAATGCAATACAAACAAAGCAGAGGCGGGGGAAATGGGGGGAGAGGGGTGTGTTTGGGGTAAAAGGCACGATTTTATCCAGGATGGCCAGTGAAACCTTACTCTGATAGGGTGTGTTTGCTAGGGCTACCATAACAAAGTACAGAAAACTGGCTTCAAACCTCAGAAATGTATCGCCTTACAGTTCTGGAGGCTAGAAGTCTGAAATCAAGGTGTGAAGGTTCTAGGGGAAGATGTTTCCTTGCCTCTTCCCAGCTTCTGTTAGTTCCTGGCAATCCTTGGCGTTCTTTACTTACAGATACATCACCCCAATCTCCGCCTCCATCTTCACATCGCCATCTTCCCTTTGTGTCTCTCCTTCTCTTTTTATAAGGGCACCACCCACCTTTAATTAGGGCCCACATTACTCCACTATGACCTCACGTTAACTAATAGCATCTCCAAGGATCCTATTTCCATGTAAGGTCACATTCAAGGTACCAGTGGTTAGGATGTCAACATATCTTTTTGGGGGGCACAATTTAATCTATAAGAGGGTGTGACACTACAGTAGAGAATTTAGGAAATGAGAGAGCAGACTATGTGACTAGCTTGGAAGAAAGGATTCCAGGTGGAAGGAAGAACAAGTGCGAGGATTCTGAAACTGGAGCATGCTTGGCATGTCTGACGAGCATCAAGGGGGTTAGCGTGGCTGAAGGGTGTGAGTGAAGGAGGGAGAGATGGGAGATGAGGCCAGGAGGCAGCGGAGGGGATGGATTCCAGGGTCTCCTGCACCATTCTATGGACTCTGGCTTTCATTCTGGGTTTAATGGTAAGTCACCGGAGGTCTGGATAACAGATTCACTTGATCTAAAAAGGATGATAATGGTTGTTGTGTCAGAAAAGTCTGCAAAGAGGATGCCAGATAGGAGTCTTTTGTATAAATCCATGTCCAAGGGTTTTATCCTGTACAAGCAGAAGAACGGAGACACAACTTACAGAAAGAAGCAGGCTGGCGATGAGGCGTTCCCATAAGATTTCATTTGAATGGCTCTGATGATTTAAAAACTCACATGTATATACACAAACACACCTGAAGAACGCTGCACTACATCATGCTATCTTTATTCTTCCAGGAGACTCAGGGGCATCTGTTTAACGGGCATCTGCTTCATCTCCTCCAAGTGAATGGCAACAGCACAAAGAATCCATACCCTCTACACTTGAAGAGCACCATGAAGCCTGACCTTCTCAGGAAAGGCAAGCAGCCCAATCATACATCTGAGAAGCTCAGACTTGGCCTCAGAGATCATGGATTGGTTTAGTCTTTGGCTTAAAAATAATCAACCAAGAACCTACATAAATATGCTCAACCAAGAGCAGGAGTTGGGAAACTCTTTCTGTAAAGGGCCAGATAGCAAATATCTTTGGTTTGGGGGCCATGTAGTCCATGTGCCAACTACTCAACTCTGTCACTATAAGGTGAACACCAAACCAAAACAATCAAACCCATTGTCAGAGAGTTGATTCTGACTCATAGCGACCTTGTAAGACAGAGTAGAACTGCCCCATAGGGTTTCCAAAGAATGGCTGGCAGATTTGAACACTGACCTTTTGGTTAGCAGCCAGGGTTCCAAGGTGAACAGAGCCACAAGTAACATTTAAGAGAATGAGTGGGGCTGTGTCTCAATAGACTTTATTTACAAAAACGGGCTGCACGTAGGATGTGGCCCATTGGCCATAGTTTGCCAGCTCCTGTTCAAGAGCATAAAAAACAAGGATGTGTACTTTTATTTTTGTGTTTAAATAAGTCCATAAAATACAGGGACCTGTCCTACAAAGGGAGATTATCTCCCCAGTTACTGATGGCAGGCAGAGATTTTAAAACCAAGAAGAGGACACAAAGCATTGAGTAGGCATTAGATACTAATCACAACTTGGATTCAAGATGGAAGAAATACTAAAACAGTAGCTATCTGCAAATATATGAAGTTGTTAGAATCTTTGGGATTATTTGTATTAATTATTATTTTATTGCCACTAAAGGAAATTAATGCTTTTTAAGAAAAATATAAAATTTGATTATAGTGCTATTCCTATCCCTCTAAGGTTCCTTCTCATCCATCTTTCTTGCTGGGGATTGTATTGGCCACGATCATATCCAGGCTAAGTGTTCAAAGATAGGTTTTCTCAGCAGCAAGATGCCAATGAACCAGCACATGAGTAAGCTACCTGGCTTCCTGTAGGAGGACTCCTCAAGAGCTTTCATAATTAGCTGTTCTTCTGGTGACTACATGGGGGGTGGGCAAGGGGATGCAGAGACAGTCTGTTGTATAACCAAGAGGAAAATTGTGGTCACATTTTGTTTTAGCAACAAAAAAAATTAAGGGATCCCTGGCTGGGCTCCCCCTAAGCAACCTAAAGCTCAATGTTGACTGCTGTTTTGAGTATGGATAAACTGCCCAAGACCAAAGCTTCCTTGTATATGCTAGAGAAAGGGAGTGTGGAGGCCTACAGAAGCTGGTGATTCTCTGAATTCATAATTCATTCCTGTTGAACTTAGGTTAGACTTGGAGACTGGTCATTTGGAAAATGAACTTAATACTTCCTCAGCTCACTCTACTTATAAAACCACCAAATCACCTTTAGAAGCTGGGTAAGTACAATGAGAAGCCCCCTGCACCAGTACTCTTAGATATCCTCCCACTGGGGTGGTTATGTTACACAGGCACTAAACCTTAACCCTGAACTTGTCTTAGGAACAAGAGAGGCACCCACAGCAGTAGTCCCATACTGTTATGGACTGAATTCTGTCCCCCAAAAGATATGTGTTGTAAATCTTAACCCCTAAATTTATAGATGTAATCCATTTGGGAATAGGTTTTTCTTTGTTATGTTAATGAGGCCATTTCAGTGTAGGGTGTGTTTTAAGCCAATCACTTTTAAGATATAAAAAGAGCAGATCAGGCACAGAAATAGGAAACACAGACGGGGAAGAGAGATGTCACGCCACATGAAGATGGCCCGGAAACCCAGGAACAGAAGCTGAAAAGAGACAAGGACCTTCCCTCAGAGATGGCAGAGAAAGTCTTCCCCTTGAGTCAGTGCCCTAAATTCAGATTTTCAGCCTCCTAAACTGTGAAAAAAGAAATTTCTGTTTGTTAAAGCCACCTACTTATGGTACTTCTGTTACAGCAGCACTAAGAAACTAAGACACGTACCTTCAACATGAACTCATGTGTCGGCTTCCCAATCCTGTCCTCAGTCTCCAGGCTGTACTCTCGTGCCAGTGGCACAGTGGGGTGGTAGAGGCGCCAGTGTTTCTCTCCCTCCAGCTGCAGGATGAAAACCTAGATGCAGGATGAAAACAAGACCTGGGAGCATCAGAGAGCACCCTGACACCTCATGTGGCAAAGTGCTTCTAGAATTATAGCTCTCAAAGGGCTTAGACAAATCACAAGTTTCAGATTAAAAATAAAAATAAAATATCAAGGAATCCCCAAGACTATGGCCCCCAGACACATTGCTAACTCAGAATTGAAGCCACTCCCGAAGTCTCCCGTTCAGCCAAAGTTAGACAGGCCTATAAAACAAACAATAACACATGTGAGAAACGTGCTTCTTAGTTCAGTCAAGTATATGAGACCAAATGGGCAACACCTACCCAAAAGCAAAGACGAGAAGGCAGGAAGGGTCAGGAAAACTGGACGAACAAAAACGGACAATCCAGGGTTGATAGGGAAAGGGGGAGAGTGCTGATGTATTGCAGGGATTGCAACCAACGTCACAAAACAGTTTATGTATAAATTTTTGAATGAGAAACTAATTTACGCTATAAACTTTCACCTAAAACACAGTAAAATTTAAAAAAAAATTTTTTTTAAATAAATAAGAGATCAGAACTGCATTTCCCTCCACACTTATATAAAAGTTACAACTATTGGTAGGCAATCATGAACCCCAGTGCTGAACAGATATTCGTTCTTGCCACTTTCTTGGAGCCTCTTTGAGTTCTTCATATCCCACCATCTCACTCCTTTACATCGTCCATCAGACAGCTAAAAACCCATAATCTGTGATGGAAAAGCCAAGCTTTGGATGGTACCAAATGTCTAAAATCCTGAATATTGAAAGGGCCTTTGCAGATAAGAAAACTATAAGTTTTTTATTCTTTATTCAGCCAGATATCTTAATGCTCTATTTTTTAAAGAAATTTTTTAAAAAAGCTTTTGGAAAACATACTGATACCAAATTGCTCCCAAAGGAAAAAAAGAAGGGCCTTTGACTAATAACTCTGTGTTCCCACCTTGTATTAGTTCAAAAATAAAATGATGAAACACCTCAACTAACTTTTTTTGGAAGCCACATGAGAGTGAAATCCACACTTATTAGGTGAAGTGAAACCATGACCCTCATTCAAGCTGCCCCGACGTTTTCACAAATAGGAAGGAAAAAATATATATTTTGGTAGCTACGAGAAAAAAGACAAAATGAAAGCAGATGTAAGGTTTACTTATAACCTCACCTTATTAAAGACCATACATTGTGAATTTAAGAAAAAGCCACTCAGACTTTCCTGTCGATAAATGCAATAAATACTTGATTCACGCGCACGTGTGTCTCTTTATATTAGTAAGGTTAGAAACAACTCTCCCTTTGAAAAGAAGAAGGATTTATTTTGGTGGGATTTATTTTGGCCCAACATTTAGGTGAGGTCAAGATCTCAAGAGACCGTACAGAAGAAGTAGATAGTGTCCTGGCCTACAAGCCTCACAGAGTCATGGGAACTGAGCCCTGACAAGTATCCTGATCCAGCTCTTGGCAACTCGTTCCTCCTGAGCTGAGCAATGTTCTTCTTCTCTTACCTCAACATCGTCATAGTGGGGGGGTAGGCCTTGAGACCCTGCAGGGGTTATGTACACATTTGAGCCAACCAAGGAGCCAAAGTAACATTCCAGCTTCTCCTGGATCCTCCACAGTTCATCCTCAAAAAAAAAAACAGGGGGGGGGAGAAGGGGAAAATATATTAGAAATAAAAGTAAGTTCTTGTTCATCGATCAAATCTTTATTATACAGTTATTATGTTCTGGATACTGAGAATAAAGCAGTGAACAAGCCAACACCTCCACCCTCAAGAAGCTGACATTCTAATACAGAAAGAAGCACCACAGGAAAGATGTGAGCAGATAAACAACAGTGTGGCAAAGCAGACAAGAAGGGGTCACTGAAGGATTTTAAGCAGGAGACTGACATGACCCAACTTACATTTTTAAAAGCTAGTTTAGGCTATTGCATGGAAAATGGAGTACAGAAAAGCAAGAGTAGAAGCAAGAGGGAGCAGTCTGGAAATTTCTGAGGTGGCGGCCAGGTGAGAAATGACAAGGGTGGTGGGAGTGAGACAGAGAGAAGCAGAAGTCAAGACGTACTCTGGGAGTGACATCGACAGTACTTGCTGATGGACTACATAGAAAGGGGTAAGGGAATGAAAGAAGTAAAAATAAGAATACTTTCAGGTTTTTGGCTTGGACAATTAGTTAGCTCGTGGTTCCATTGACTAAAATGGGAAAGACTTGCTAAAGACCAAGTTTTCAGGAGGAAAAAGAGTGTTCTACATTAGAAATGTTAAGTTTGAGCTACTGAGATCCCCAAGTAGAGACTATTTTGAGTAACCAGTTGGCTGAGTCTGAAGGTCTGGCAAGAAGTAAAGGCTAGAGATTAAAATTTGGGAACTGCCTGCACACAATTAATATTTAAAGCAATGGGAGCAGAAATGATGACTCAGAAAGAGGGTATAGAAAGAAAAAGAGGAACAGGTCAAGGAATGTTCCTGCTTCCATCCATTAATCAATTCTTCAGTGCAGAAGTCAGATTGAGTGGCCTAGAGACGAGCCATATATTCTTCCAAGAGAAAAAGAAATCTTATTTCCCAAGGCAGATAAGAAGAAGAGAGGTAACAATCAGGCCGTGCAGATATTAGCACTCCCTATGTGCCAGGCAGTGCTTTACACATATCAATTATATAATCCTGACAACAGCCCTGTCTCATAGATGGGCACTGTCATTACCTCCAGTTTAAAATCACACAGCTAGTAAATGATGAAGCCAGGATTCAAATTCAGGCAGCCTGGCTCCAGAGCCCATTCCCTCAACCACTACTCGATAGTCCTCTCCAAAGAACTGTCTTAAAGAAAAGACAAGTCACCTACAAAGTATACTGAAGAGCCCAACATTTCAAACAATGCCTGGCACACAGGAGACGATGAAATATATTTAAAATACTTGCTGAAAAAACCAGTGGCCTCAGGTTAGGTGTCAATCCTAGTACCCGACTGCAAAAGGATCTATAGTATTAAAAATACCAAGTGGGAAAGAATTGGGTCACTATGAAAAAAGCCTTGGGAGACATCTTAATATATACCACCGGGCTACCCTATTTATAGATCTCTGGGTTCTACTTAACACAGGGAAAATAATTTAATAGCATCTGAATAGCTCCAAAGATTTAACAGAGTTCCCAAGGAGTCTAATTTATACCAAGGAGGAAGTAGCAGGGCTTGACTCTGAATGTTATAAATATATTTATACAGCAACTGGAACCACTAGAAAACCAATGTTTCTCTCTCTCTCTGATGGCCTGAGAGGTCTTTCAGGATCACATGGGTGACTTTATGATTCCCAATTTAAGCATGTGGGTCTGTAACTGATGAAAAGAATATGTCTCTTTTCTTCTTAAAGGTCCCAATAACCCTATCCATTGTACAGTTTTTCCATTTCTCCTGGACCTTTAGCTTCTGAATCTCTGTGGCATAACAGAAAGAGATTTGGAGTCAAACCACGTTGGTCCAAGTTGTAGTTAGACCCTAGATGACTTCAGCTTCTTAATTTGTAAAGATATTACCACTCCCACCCCATTCCTGAGGGGACCAACATGAAGCTACTTATCTCAAATCCCGCTTAAATTGCAAAACAATATACAAGTGTTATTGCTTCACCAACACTGACTTAGGCCCAAACAAAGGTCCTGAAAGCTATCTTCTCCTTTACCTCATGACTCCCAACTATGTCCAAAGACATCAAAGAGGAGGATCCTAGAACAAAAAAGGAAAGATAGTAGCTACTATCCTACTATCCCGGCTCGGTAAAACTTCCTCTCTCACCGGACCTACTTCACAGAATCAAAGCTGAAAGCCATGGCTAAGACCAGAAAACCACGTACATGCAGTCCCCAGGGTACTAACGTCTGACTTGCGTACAACTCAAAGCTACAAACCAACCCCTGGAAAGCTGATTATATTAAAAATTCGAGGTATGTATAATGGTTCATAATAACAAACAGGCACGACTTTGTGACCATCAAAACATTATATTATTATTATTATTATTATTGCATTATTATGTTAAAGATGTTTTAGTGTATCTTGAAGTGTTTAATTTTTTTATGCACGGAAAGGTACACTATATACTAAGACAAACATCTAACTGACATTAGATATAAACCATACCTAACTGTTCTGACTTAAGTACAAGTTTGACTTAAAGACAGACTTAGGAATGGAACTTGTTCGCAATCCAGGGTCTGCCTGGATATGCCTAAAAAACGGCAAAAACAAAAATGCAAGTAGGCCACACACACGCACACACACAAATTTGAAACCACATTTCAATTGCCATCTTTAAAAGTATAGTAGGAAAACACCTTAAATTTGGAGTCAGAAGACTTTACCGGCTTAATAACTATGGGAAAGTCACAAAGTCCATAAACTCCAGTCTTTTCATGTATAAAATGGGTACCACAATGGCTGCCCTACCTATTTCAAATGTCTATAGGAGATTAGTTCAAAGTTAACATATATGAAAGTATTTGGTAAATTCTAGCATGCCATATAAAATGCAAATACATGTTCCATTTCCCCAAAACTGAACGTTTGATGTAGGGATTAGCCAAAGCAGATGGGGGAACAATTTCTATGACTCTCTCTGGTTACCTCCTTACTCATTTCCAGACTAACTAGAATAATAAGCTGTGCACATGCAGAGACCCAATAAACCAAGGGCTACCTGTCCCCTCTAAAAGTCTCTCAACATGGCCAGTGATGAACTGCCTCCTAGACTTTTTCTATCCTGATGTTACTAAGCCCATTCGCAAACAAACACACACAACACTAAACCTCCTCACAATACAGTTTTAGAACTCAGTTTCTAGTATAACAGGGTGAGCTCCTGTAGCTTATGGGTCTCTCAAGTACTGGTGGTGGGGAAGAGAGAAACAGGGTGTATCCTCGTCTAGCCTGAGGCCTGGGTTTGGCCTCGAAAGCTCATCCTTCCGGCTTTAATAAACCTAGATGAGGAGCTAAGTCAACAGGTCAAAAGAAATATGTCTTAGGCTACCTGAAATCCCAGATGAGGTATGTGCAGGGATTAAGTAGTGGAGCAGAGAAAGGCCCTAGGGAAGATGGTTCTAAGTGCAGAAATGACACCCACAGAGAACACCACCCATAGGTCAAATACTAACTTTCTGCTGGCCTGTGATCAAATTACATGTAATTAACTCACTGAAATGATTTATGTTCATAGTTCTTAGGTCTCTAAAAACTATTCTTTTAAAAGTGCTACTTCTAGTCAGGTAAAGAGTCAAAACTAGCTGAGGAGCATTTTACCCATGGTGTCCATGTTTTCTGAATTCATATCATGACTTGGTCTGACAAATGATATTTAACTTCCTTTTTTGGTGCTAGGGCTACAAGGTTGGCATTTCAGGGACATTTCAACTTCTTATGATTGCCTGAGATGGAATATCTGGAATCAGGACTTGTCCTACACAATCTAAGAAAACTTATACCTCATCCAGGGTACCAATAGGTTCAGGATCCTTTAGACAAGAAGGGGAAGAACATTCACCAGATGAGGCCTAATGGGATCTAACATCCAAACTCTTGAGTTCAATCCACGGAAACACTTGCTGTAATTGATGACAAAGCCCCAGGAGCCATCCACACAGCCAGCATCCATTCCCGTCAGTATGGAACCTCATAAACCCCTCTCCTCCCACCATATTGCTATTTTGCTTCAGCCACAGGTCACAGAAGGAGGTTTCTGAATGGGACAAAACTTTATCTAGAACTCAAAACAGGCCCTCAACTCTTCTAAGCCATCTGTTATATAAAAGTCTCAAACCTCTGAGAAGGCAGGTTAGCTTAGCTTAAGTTTCCATCTTATAAATGCAGAAACTGAGCACCGAGAAGGCCAGTTATTTCCCAGATGTCAATCACTGATGCGGAGTAAATAAAGAACTAGCCAGTCCTCCTGACTCTCACATCAAAGCTAACCTCCACCTCTAACTGTCTCTCCAGGCAGTTCCAGGACCTCACCCCTCAATGTTACACCTGCTGCTATTAGCAAGGGTGAAGTCTTTCTTGAACATCATCTGGTATGTGATCCGGTCACAGCTCCAAAGCCTCTACTTACGCAGATGCAGGCAACTTCAAGAAGAAAACGATCACCTTGATGCTATCATGCCTTAAATTATAGTGACATGACAAACCAAACAGAAATGTTTACCATAGACCAAAACATAAATCAGGCCATAAAATGTGGGCCTGAAGGTATGTTACCTTAGTAAGCTGTGTAAGCTTGCAACATAATTTAATTTTTGCAGCTTGGTTAAGCAATGATGCCCAACCACGTCCACCTCAGAAGAGACTCTTTAACAGTTTAGCCAAAAGATAACATGGAATCTCTCAAGCTGGAATGCATTTAAAGACTAAACAGGTGCTATCTCTTCTCAAACTGGCAGGAGGCTAATCAGCATCACACCATTCAACCTTGAGCTGATCTGTAGCTAAATATTATTAGTATTTATATAAATATAAATATATAAAGTACTTATATAAATATATTCCACAGTGGGGGAATCTATTACCTTAAATCTTTGAGGTTGGTGAAACTGAATTGTTGCCCTTTTCTGATCAAAATCTTTTCTCAGCTGAAGAAAGTGCGCTTTGCCATCTTTATTTAAAACCTTCTTCTTCCCACTGACGCACCGGCAGACATTTACGTCTCTTCCATAGTACACACCCCGGCTGCACAGACTCTTCAGATCCGTCAACCTGAACAGAGACCGGTAATACGTGGCCAGTGCAGGGTCATCTCTCTGAATCAGAAGGGGCTTCTGCTCCCAGAATTCCTTGAAAAAAGTCTCTGTCTTGATGGGTGAGATTAAACTTTCAAAGAGACCACCGGGGCTGTCAAAGTTCAAAGTAGAAGGCCCACCAGCTGCCTCCACCTTCGCCTGCTTACGGGGAACAGGCCTCTCTTCCTTCCCAGTCCCTGCAGGCTTTGCTTTCTTTGGCATCGTTCAGTCTTCAAGACAAAGCAGTGAGGAAATGCAAACCTACTAAAAAAATTAAACACACACGCAGTTAGGTCTACTAGGAGTGTTAGAGGATTGTATAAACACAGCCTGCATGACCACTCAGATAACATACTCATGTACAGGAAAATGCGTTTTTCTTATATGCAAGCACTAAGTCATGGAATTCATTGTTTGTAAGGTGGTATAGTGGTCCCAAATTGAACCACTCAACTTTCTTGGCGGGTCCTAATCACAGGTTTAGTCTGTGGCCATTGACACAACAAAGTCAAAAATCTTGAATTTGGCTGCAATCAGCACCAGGTCCCACATCTAGTTAGATGTGCCTGAGTTACAAACACTTGACTTGGGAACTACAAACAGCTGCCCATTGCCAGGTGCCCGTCACTCACCCCCAGTCTCACCAACTGTTCAGGAAATGACACAACCTGCCCAGGGCCAGTGGTGTCACCTGGTGGCTGGAGCAAGGAGCTGCCTGCTTCTAAGTCTTCCATGACCACCTGAACCTCCTCACTTTCAAATCTGTTTATTCTTGGAAACTGTCACTTTATCAGACCCCCATACAACACACACCCCTAATTCAGGGCTGAAAAGTGAAAGTTAAAGGCAGTTTAAGACAATTGTTTAAGAAGCTATACCTTTTGAACTAAAGATGCAATAAAATGCCAACATCATTAAGCTCTAACAGTGCTTCTCCAGCTTTAATGCGTACTCCCATCACCTGAGCATCTTGCTAAAATGAGATTCTGCATTTTTCACAAGCTCCCAGGTGATGATGATGCTGGTGGTTCACGACTACACTTTTGAATAACAAGAATCGCCACTCCCAAACTTTGCCAAGCCCCTTGCAGAACTGCCCCAAAACCCCAACTTATTTTTGCTTATAATTCAAGTATCCTTCCTCTGGGGTTCAGGGATTATACTTCAAATTTTATCAATCTCCCGAAACTGCCAAATTCTATTTTAAAGCACACGTTTGTTTGTTTTCTGGAAAGGGAGACCCATCGCTTTCACCAGACTCTTAAAGAAGTCCCTGACCCCAAAAAGGCTAAGAACGATGGTGCTTATAAAAACCAATTTCCTCAAAAACCACTGACTTATTTATAAATGTTATGGTTTCCTATTTTGTTTAACTATCAGAATTAGAAGAATCCTGTTTTCTACTGGTTTGCCATTGTAACCAAGCAGTACTTCAGCTACACTGTGGACTGAGGAGAATCAACATTCAAGGTCTGGCCTAGGAGCATAAGCACTTGTTTCCTAGAATAACGTGTCACACATTCCAACAACTAATTTATAAACTGAACAAATTAGGAAGTGCAGATGTCAAAGTATAAAACTAATGGTCTCATTTTAGCTTCTTAATTTCCTCAAACACAAATAGCTGAGTTCTTTGAAACAGATCGAGTGCTTCTGGTGGGAAACACGGGACCAGGGTGGAAAAATTAATGCAAATTGATACCAAAAGCCTATGTTGGTGGGGTACCACTTGAGCTTAGAAACAAAATAAACTTTAGTGTTTTAGGATATAAAATTGTAACAATGAGACACACATTTTCTGAAAATGTTTCCTATTCCTTTTAAGTTTAATAGACCAGGTTGAATTCTCAAGGAAAGAATCAAAGCTTCCGTGAGACAAAACTTTGCTAGAATTTGAAAAACTAATGAAAAGGCCTGCTTACAAGGTTGGCCCTTGGCTGGCATCTGGGAACTTAGATTTTGGGAGGGTTCACACCACCGTTAGCTGAACCATTAGAGTGGCTCAACATAAAACAAAAATCCTCAAACTAGACCAATAAACAACATCATGGTAAACAGAGAAAATATTGAAATTGTCAAGGATTTCATTTTACTTGGATCTACAATCAACACCCATCTAAGCAGCAGTCAAGAAATCAAATGACCTATTGCACTGGGCAAATCTGCTGCAAAAGACCTCTTTAAAGTGTTGAAAAGCAGAGATGTCACTTTGAGGATTAAGGTGCACCTTACCCAAGCCATGGTATTTTCAATCGCGTCAGACGCATGTGAAAGCTGGACAATGAACAAGGAAGACCAAAGAAGAATTGATGCCTGTCATGGATTGAATCGTGTCCCCCAAAAAATGTGTGTAGCAACTTGGCTGGGTCATGATTCCCAGTATTGTATGATTGTGTAATCTGATGCGATTTCCTTACGTGTTGTAAATTCTATCACTATGATGAGATTATATGTGATCTCCTTATGTGTTGTAAATTCTGTCACTGTGATGAGGTTATACTGATGAGGCTGACAAGATTAGATACTGTCTTAATGCAATCTCTTTTGAGATATAAAAGACAGAAGCCAGCAGAGACACGTGGGAACCTCATATCACAGAGAAAGCAGTGCCAGGAGCAGAGCGCGTCCCTTGGTGGTTTGAACTCACTCGCTGCTCCACAGGAGAAAGATGTGGCATTCTGCTTCCGTAAAAGATTTACAGCCTTGGAAACCCCATGGGGCAGTTCTACTCTGTCACATAGGGTCACTATGTATCAGAATTGACTTGATGGCAATAGGTTGTTGTTTTTTTTTTTTTTTTTTTCCCTTCTGGTTTTGTGTAACTCCACTGGGAAAGGTCCCTCAGAAGCTTGTGTCTGGTCTCCTCAGGACTTAGCCCTACACGCCTTTTCCCTTTGCTGATCGTGCTTGGTACCTATAACTGTAATAAACTGGCCCTGAGTACAATAATTGCTGAGTCCTGTGGATCCTCATAGCAAATCACTGAATCCAGGGGTAGAGACCCTTGACACACTGCTCATATTTAATTTTTAAAAACTAACTAAAATTTAGATTGGCTTAGAAGGTTTATATCAATCACTAAAGGTGTCCTACAAAGAAAAAGTAATTTTAGATTGAGCACATATCCTATTCCTCACAACTGATCAGTTTAAAATTTATTTAAGGGATATGAGCAGCAGGAAGATACAAGTGAAAGGCTTGTTTTCTTTAAGTACAAGATTTGAATACAGTACAAGCACACCCACCAGAAAATGTGTCTAAACAAAGTGCCACAAAAATACTCAAGCCAAAAATGAGGTCACTTGAATAATTTTCCCTATCTACAATCACTGGGAAAATAAACCCCAATACTGCATAATAACTGCTTTTGTTAGAATATAAATTTCACTACTTACACTGCCAAAAATTACATCATTTAATGTTTCTCTACATTCATAATGAAATTATTTGAGGCTCAGTTAATAGGAATCGAGCTTAGAGGTTACTGGGCAAATATACTATTTCTCTGATTCTCAGACTCCTCAGATTGTAAGACAACCACTCTTTTAACAGCTTTTGGAGGATGGAGGGGAGAACAGATGACATATATTACCACATTAAACATATAAAATTTGTAAGATGCTTCACATTTTCAGAAATGGAAAAATTTAAAAAGTGTGTCTTAGATTCCAAGAAACACAGTAATTAAAATAGAATGCTTTGTCTAAAATAGTACAGCCAATACAAGCCTGTCTATAAAGCTCACAGACCACCCAAACCGAAGTTAGAGTAAATATTTTTATGAAGCCACAGGGAAAAAAAAAAGCAAGTTTTTTAAAGCAATTGTTTCCAATTTGAGCTGGAAACATCAAAATGTTAAAAAGATTAAGTCAAAAGAAAAGATTCACAGTTCATAACTTCCAAACTACCCCACAGATAAAAATAAACACCAAATAGCCTAAACAATATTAAAACTCTATAACAAAATCAGTATTGATGTCCTTACTACAGCCGACAAATTATTAGAGCCTTTATGTTTTTAAGATATCCTAACCTCCTGCTGAAAACCCTGGTGGTATAGTGGTTAAGTGTTACGGCTGCTAACCAAAAGGTTGTCAGTTCAAATCCATCAGGTGCTCCTTGGAAACTCTATGGGGCAGTTCTACCCTGTTCTATAGGGTCACTATGAGTTGGAATCAACTCGACAGCAATGGGTTTTCTGGGTTTAAACTTTCTCCTGGAACTCTGGTACTGGCAGTAGCTAAGAGCTCAGCTGCTAACCAAAAGGTCGGCATTTCGAATCCATTAGTCACTGCTTGGAAACCCTATGGGGCAATTCTACTCTGTCCTATAGGGTCGCTATGAGTCAGAATTGACTCAACAGCAACAGGTTTGTTTTTTTTTTTCTTTTTTGGTAGCCTCTTTTTGGAGCCCTGGTGGAGAAATGGTTAAGAGCTATGGCTGCTAAGCAAAAGGCTGGCAGTACGAATCCACCAGCCGCTCCTCGGAAATTCTGTCGGGCAGATCTATTCTGTCCTATAGGGTTGCTATGAGTCGGAATCAACTCGACGGCAATGGATTTAGTTTCTGGTTTTGGTAACCTCCTTTTCCACAATAATATTCAATGACAAGAATCATAAAACAGCTTCTTGAGGGAAGGGGCCGCTCACTGGTACATTTGGAGCCTAGAACAGAGCACACACAGAAGTGGTTCTCGAGAAATGCTGCTTAATGAATTCTTTTTCACTTTTCTTCTTCTGTATACAATTTTATGGGAGAGTCTCAAAGGCCTGTCACAAAAAGAGTTAGGGGGAAAAAACAGGTTGCTCTTTCAGCAGGGATTATTCTTCCAGTGGCAGCTATCACTGGTAGTCAAAAGCAGCACTAAGCTAAAGGGCACCTTAGACATCAGTGGTTATTATCAAACAGGAGATGGAGGTGTGATTGTCTTCATATCCCCTGAGCAATGTTTTACAGAGTGTAGTCCACAGAGTCGCCAGGAATGCTTGTTTAAATGCAAACTCCTG